TACGTACCCACCACAGAAGATTCAAACTCAAGATCTTCCAGTTACAAGGCTAGCACGTAGACCATTCATTCAGTCACTGGGATCCGGCTAAATGGCCAACCACCCATGAATGTGAACTTCAACAAATTTGTGTGTTTTAGCGTAACTGGCACCAGCCAGTGTCATTTCTGGCGAATAATTGTTCTCACTCCCTGCTGGGTGGACCCGCCTCCCCGACTGGTCAATACTTCTGACTAGGAAGAGCTCCAGGCAACTTTGTCCTGCAGCCAGTCACTAGCGCGCAATTGTCCAGTTATTTTAATCGCTTAAATGAGTAAGAGGGTGCGTCAGTGGCACAGCGGTTAGGACGCGCGCCTACCATGCACATGATCTGGGGTTCGATCCCCGGCCACAGACGAACTCCTTACTGCCTCGCTAACCCAGTAATAGGGAACTGGCAAAGAGGGCAGGTTTGGTGGGCATGAGGCTGGCAACCCCACCCCGCAAAAGTAAACACTACTGCTACAGATACTTCAAGCCTCTAGCTTGAAGCCCCATGTTCCACTGGTAACGTGGAATTAAAAAAATAAGTAAGGGACAGGTATTGAATTCAAAAATTCTAGTGTCATTTTCATTCAGTTGTGTTTAAGCATTTATTAAAAACTGTCACTCGAAAGGTGGCTTATTTAATACATTGGGTAACACTGAAACCAAGGCTGCTAAGCTTGAGCCTCTGAGTGATACACACCGGCATGCTGGTACATCCACAGCTAATGTGTTTCAAATAGGATGAAAGGTGCTTCCTAGAATATACACTGGTAACCTGTATCTATAATAATAATAATAATACTACGTTATGCATGCGTAGATTATATCATAATTCCTTCACGTTCCCTGGTGGAATATAGGGTTCCAAGCTAGATGCTTGAAGTTTCGGTAGCAGTGGTGTTTTATTTTTTTTACAGGATGGGTTTGCTAGCCAGCCTCATGCCTCATCTTCCCTCTTTACCAGACCTTTTACTGGCTTAGTGTGAGGTAAAGGAGTTCGTCTGTGGCGGGGGATCGAACCTCGAACCATATGAGGCGTGATCGGCGAGCATTCTACCGCTGCACCATCAACGCACCACTAATTCAATATAACTAGATAAATTGTTTAGTTCGATATCTAACAATTAAGACACCTGTAACGGAGTAGCACTGTCTGGAGTGCTTATGTTGTACCCTGTGTGTCACCAAATTTTGAAATCCACATAAATGAGTACAACTCATTGTCTAAGTGAGTTGAAATGATACATGAAAAATAACTGGTGCGAACTAAGTGTTCAACTTATATATGTCCAAACCAAGTTCATTTTTAACGGTTTGAAAAAATTTGGGCATTGGGTATATGATATTCATTGTAATAAAGGTTTTTGTATTTCCCAATGAATGAAAAAGACAAAGCGATATTACTGTTTTTACTGACGTTTCGCTATTTAATGCAACTAATAGCTTTATCAAAGTATTATTAAACCGGAATTCACAAAATCTCAGCATATATATAACAAACAGTTAGGGGGTGAGAAAATAGACTTAAGTCAAGTTAAAAGGACATATTGAAAGTTAAAATAACAATGAAGATCACTAAGCCAAATAATAAAGGTAATAGTACATCTGTTATGACATCAATATAAAGTTTACTAACTTGACCATCGTTCGTCTGTCTGGGGGCATTTTTAGTTGTCAAGTTAGTCAATTGGTAACGATAAAAAAATCAAATGTGAATTGTTGGATTTGACCGGTGTGTAAAATTATAAAAGTAGTGTGTGTTTGTTTACATAGTGAACTTGCTTATCACATTCGTGTTGATTTTGTCACTTCATGGGGGAGGGGAGGGAGGTGTTGTAACCAGGTCAGATTCTGTTTTAGTCCATCATTCCTATTCAGATAATTTTGATTCCACTTGATATGAAGTGCTTCTGATATTAGACGTTCTGTATGATTTCTGAAGTTTTTCTGGATGATGATTTCGATATTGTCAAAATCAATTTTGTGACCTGATTCTATAGCATGTAGACCTATGGTTGATGATTTCTCAAGTTTTGTAGTTCAACAGGATTTCTCGGTAGTCGAAGAGATGCTCTACGGTGTTCATTTCTTCTGATTTTGATTTCTCGAGATGTTTGTTCGATGTAAATCGCATCACATTTCAAGCATTTTATTTTATAGACACAATTAGATAGAGAATCTTTACGGATTTGGTCTTTTATATGGACAAGGTTGTTTCGAAGTGTGTCTGATGTTTTGAAGAAAACTCTAATGTCGACATGATTGAGTACTCTTCTGATATCATCTGACGTCTCTGCTCTATATGAAATGACGACTGTTGATGTCCATGTTTTCGGAATGCGTTTTCGGCCATACTTAATGTCTGTGGTGATTTTGTTGATGAAGTTCCATGGGTAGTTGTTTTGCTTGAGAGTTTCAGTAATGTTTGATATCTCTTCTTCTTTTTCTTTCTCGTCGGTTATCAGAGAGTGTGCTCGTCTAAGAAGACTTGAAACAACTGCTAACTTTGCACTGATGGGGTGTGATGACTTGAAGTCTAAATATTTATTTCATCAATATGTCCCTTTAACTTAACCTAAGTAGTCTATTTTCTCACCCCTCAACTCTTTGTTATATATATATGCTGAGTGGATTTTGTAAATTCCGGTTTAATGATACTTTGATAAAGCCATTAGCAGCAGCATTAAATAGCGAAACGTCAGTAAAAACAACAATATCGTTTTGTTTTTCATTCATTCATTGGGAAATACAGAAAAACAACCTTTATTATAAGTGTTCAACTTGTTATCAAGGCCTTGAAGAAAAAATAGCTCAATGTGCTCTAATTTCACGTCTTTTTTAACACAGAGATCATAAATCACATGAATAATTAATTAGTCATCCGTTAAGGTTATGAATTCTCTATTTTAGTCCTATAGTGTTTTATTTTGGACTACAAAGTGAATATATATGTATATATCAGTTACGCATAATTTCAATATATTTAAAAGTATTTTGTAGCGATGTAGTTCAATGTGTTGTAAAATTGAAGCAGTTTGAATAATGGTGTTCGCTTCTGATTAATAATTGATCCATTTTTTAATAACATATCAGCTTTGATATCTCTCTCATTATTTGTTAATTATGCTTGTTACATACATACTGAATGTTACTTAATTTTCTCCATGAAATTCAATTGAATGATGAATAAGTGTTTTAGGCCAATCAAAGTTTTACAAGTGATAGATAGGCTTAAATATAATGACATCGATGTGTGGGTGTGTCCACCAACCAAAGTCTCCCGCCTAGTACTTGAAGAGAACTTCAAGAACCCCTCAGTATACTACTACTTTACTTTACTTCGGCTATGTCCTACGGGAGGATGAGCCGGCTTCATGAACATCTCGAATCGTCGCTGCCCAGGCGCGGCGATCTGATGAAGAGAGTCCATGAAGTTTCATGGGAATTTGGTACGAGTGATGTCCCCAGAATCGCTCGGCCTTTTGTTTGAGAGTGCAGCTCTAGCCTTTACACAACCAAGTGTGACCTACAAGGCAGTAGGAGTGGAGTAGGGAGTCCACTATCCATTGGCAGTCGGTGACCGGAGTTCGGTTCATACGCCTTTTTGAATGGGGCCAGACATCCAGGAAATCCAACAAGCCCTTTGTCCATACGTCTGCCGGTGAGCTCCAGTGAGCTTCATACGCCAGTCGTTCGAGGTTTGGAATCAGGGTTTGGCCATCTCCCCTAGACTGTCATCCAATGGACAGTCAACCCGGTGAAGAGCGCCGGGCATCCGCTTTCGCCCTCTCATTTTGGTGAAAAACACCTCCGCCACGTGAAGGCAGTGAGTAGGACTTCCTCAGGAGAGGCTATGTAAGACGCCCGGTCATATGGGAGTATTTCAAGAGGTGTGCGGAGGGGTGGCCAACCCGCAGCGCAAGGCACCCACCCCCGACCATCCTGAGGCTTTGGAGGAGAAAACACACTAAGCTGATTGTTGGATGATATCGCGCTTCATGCCCCTTCGAGTTGAATCTGAATAGGACGCAACGAGAAGGACCTCTGAGGGTGACATTGAGGAGATCATGTGAGGAGGAGATGTGAGATTGTGGTCAATCGTGAACCCAGCTGAAGAGGACATTGCCGAAGTGTTGTTGAAGTCATATGTTCCACTCGGAACCCAAAGGAACAATAATAATATAGGATTTTAACATGAGCTGACATTGGTTAGAGAACCATTGGAAAACCTGCAGGGAGTACCGGACAGCTGTTTCGTCCTAGTTCGAGACTCTTCATTGGTACGTACCCACCGGGGTTCGAACCCAGGACCTTCTGGTTACAAGACTAGGTCACTAGATGCTCACAAGCGACTTGCCCTATTCAATTAGGTAGTTACCTGAGGTTCTAGTGAGAAGTTGTGACCAGTAGGGTGCAGCAGGTCGGGTGTGATAACAAATTCTCGCCGAAGACATTGGCTAGCGCCAGTTGCGCTATGTCGTGAAGTTAGAAGCTAGAATTCATGGGCCATTGGATTGGGTCTCAATGGCTTAATGGTATACGAGCTCGCTAGCCTTGTAACCGGAAGGTCCTAGGATCGAACCCTGGCGATGGTGCGTACTTCTGAGGAGTCCGAAACTAGGACGAAACAGCTGTCCAGTACTCCCTGTGGCTGGTTTCCCAATGGTCCTCTCTAACTCTAATGTCAGCTCATGATGAAATCCTGTAACCAATCAATCAAATCCCTACTAACCAACAATTGAATAGTAATATAATTAAACCCCTAGGCTGCATGTTTGAAACCGAGTCAACGGACCGATGAAACAGAACTGCACACTAGATTATTTTAAACTGAAGCTATTGCGTGTTTCTTCTTCTTATTTGTTGTCGTTGCTGTTGTTGATTGAATCAAGTATTTGACGGTCTTTGATGATTATTAATCAATTGACTGAGTTTATTTCGCTTCTCTTTTTGTTTTCTTCTTTTCTTTTCTAGTCTTTCCTCGTCTAGTTAAACAACAACAACAAGAACAACACAACAATGTCTTGGTTATCAGATCTGGCTAGTAAAGCTGAGAATTTTCTGAATACTTTGGATCATTCAGCTGCAGAAGTTCTTAAGGCAAATAATAATGAACATCAACCCGTTGATGATGATACTAATAATTATTATCATAAGACAAATATCTTAAGCACATCGCATGATCTACATTCTAATGTTCAACTGTCATCATCACATCATTCAAGATATGATATGCCAGTGACAATCAAACCTGTAGACATGTTAGAGGGTATTATTACTGGATGTCAGTCATTCTCCTCAGAAGAAGGTGGTGGAAAGCATTTTTCTGCTAGTAGTAATCAACTATCATCATCATCAGATGCCTTTAAATTAAGCCACAGTACTACACATTCAGGACAAGGGGATCAGAATGAAATGTCTAGGTGAGTAATTTTATTTTTTTAGGTGTTTTTTTCTCTAAGATTCGGTCGGTCGGTTTTCGACATACAACTTTGCACATATGTGTGGCAGTTCAAGTCGCCACACTCCACGAAGCACACAAAGGAAGAGAAGAAAGTAGGAGAAATGCATAATATAGACAGTAAACAGAGGTGTGAGACAAAGGTATAGTAATAACGAAGACTTATGTGGTTTCACTGGAAATCATAAGTCACAAGGAGTGGATGCATCTGCGCTAGCCATTGAGAAGAGGATTTTCAGCCATGTCACCAATTGTTTCCAACCATTGGTTTTTACCGTCCCGAGGACCCCAACCAGGAAGTCTACATCTCCCTACGTGGCTTAGACTAACTGTTGTGGATTTTATTGACTGGTGCCATGTTTTGGTTTGACCGCCGCTAGCTCTTTTCCAGCCTGGCCCTATATCAGCTAACATTACCCATTGTCAAGGAAGGCGATGACTAGGCATACGTAATACATGTCCTAACCATCTCAGTCGATGTAATTTCACAGTTTCGTCGATTGATTTCCCCGCCTTACCTAGCACTTGGCGCCTAACCTGAATCTTGCTCACCTTATTATACCGCTTCACACGGGAGATAGAACGCAGACACCTATGATGGAAGACAGCTAATCTTTTCATGTCTTCTGTTCTCAATGGCCAGGTCTCACAACCATAAAGGAGGACGGAGCGGACTGTTGAGCAGTACACGTTCCCAGTGGAACATAGGGGGCTCCAAGCTAGAGAAGGCTTGAAGTTTCTGTAGCAGTGGTGTTTTATTTTTACAGGATGTCCTTTCTAGCCTCATGCCCAACCAACCTTCCCTCTTTGCCAGTAGTTCTGTATTACTGGGTTAGCGAGGCAGTAAGGAGTTCGTCTGTGGCCGGAGATCGGACCCCGGATCATGTAGCATAGTCGGTCGCGGCGAGCATCCCGAACCGTTGTGCCACCGACGCAAAATTTCATTTTATAGAATTTTCCCTTTTCACCCAAATAGCTAACCTTGAAATCATCTGATGATTTGGGCTGAGGTGAATCGGAGACACTGCCTAATGAGCGAAATCACTGCTCATATATCCATGCTGAGAGATCACTTCAAGGATCTGCCTCGTAAAAGTATTACTTGGTTAATAATATGAGGAGTGGCATACAACCATTCATAATATCAATAATAATATCATAATTAATGTACTTTGAATGAAGATAGAATTAGGAGTTTTCTATAGTTGGTTTGTAATAATTAGTTTTGTTGTTACGAGTTGATGACGGATTGATATCAGTTAGAGAAGCATTGAAAACCAGCCACACGGAGTACTGGACAGCTGTTTCCTCCGTCCTAGTTTGTGAATCATCGCCAGTACGCACCCACCACCAGGCTTCGAATCCAGGATCTACCGGTTACAAGGCGAGTTTGTATACCTTTCAGCCACTGGGACCCGATTCAGTGGCTCATGAATTTTAACTTCTACCAATTCGTGATCCCAGTGGATGCGTACTGCTGATGGTCCCCAAACTAGGATGAAACAGCAGCTGTCCAGTACTTCCTGGTTTTCAATGGTTCTCTAACTGATATCAATCCGTGATCAACTCGTAAAAATTAAGAGTTTAAAAAAAACAACACCGAAGGACTCCAGTATGAAATAAACACAACAACTAGACTCTATTGTATATTGCATTGTGTAATATCTTCAGAATTTCAATATAAGTTAAGATAAAGTTTCTACTACTTACAACGCATTTTTGTGTATAGATGTTTGTGACTTATATGCATTTATTACGTCAGTGCAAGAAACAACCTCTTTTACCTACTGACCTGGGAAGCATCGTTTCAACTACACCTGGACGGAACTGACGAGGATATCAAAGCAAGAATCGGTCTCAGGTCTGTGTGGAGGTAAACAGCACTCAGCTTGAAAAATAAGATCCAGATTTTCAACTTCAGTGTGAAGTCAGTGCTACTTAACATACGGATCAAGGACTTGCACTGCGCGTCATAAAGAGCATCTCAAACAAATTACAGACCTTCATTAACAGTTGTCTTCGCTCAATACTCAAGATCAGATGGCTGGCCAGAAAAGGTCAGCAACAGAGATCTCTGGCAATGAGCGAACCAACTGAGCAGGAACCGATTGTGAAACAAATAGGCAGGAAGAAATGGAGATGGATTGGCTGGCCATACTCTGAGGAAACAATGCGTCAAGTGACATCACTAGACAAGCCATCGCTCGAGTGGAACCCGAAAGGGAAGCGGCTAGTCAGTTGGTCGTCAGTCAGAGGGTGACTTGGAGGAGGTCATGTGAAGAGGAGATGAAAGTGTGTGGGCAGACATGAAGCCAGGTGAAGACTGTAGCAGAGAACCGAACGCAATGGAGACATCTGGTTGAAGCCCTATGTTCCTCTAGGCATTAAAGGAAACATTAATAATAATAACAATAATAGTATGTATATATATATATATATATATACATATACATATATATACATCAGAGGTCTAAAGAATGCGACACTTACTCAATCATTCCGGGTCCTATTCTCATTATCTCCATACTTTTATTCTTAGAACAAGACATATAAGCGAAGAATATTGCTGTTTTCAATTAGATCTTCTTCAGGCTTTACTCTAATTTACGTATATACATATAACAAACTTAACCATTGACTGTGACTTTGTGGATCAAATAATAATAACAATAAAAATGTAGTAAATGTTTTGAACGTCGTTAATAACGATGATTATAATGATAATAAAATAATATTGATAATAAGGTTTATGCAGTTAACGATAAGATTAAAGAAGGTAGTGAGTGATATGTGTATATGTTGTTGTTGTTGTTGTTGTTCTCTCGAATTAATTCCCATGCCTTTTTTGTGCTATGTGTAAAAGAAAAGGCGGGTTCGAATTCCGTTCGAAAAACTCGATGGAATGCGATAGATACCTTTGAAGGCACTTTTTCTGTTCACCCTTTCCGAACCATGAAGAGAGATGCTCACTAATGTGTTTGTTAAGCTGTCTAGTTGTTCGCCGTATATAGCCAGCTTTCTCCACAGGAGCAACTAAATTTGTAGATACACATAGAAGTGGCACAGCTAGGTGGTAGCTTGTCTTTCACTTGAGCAATTAGAATTGGTTGGCAGCTGGAAAATGAATGTAAATTAGATTGAAACCTGAAGACGATCTAATTGAAAACCAGAATATTGTTCGCTTATATGTGGGAATACTTTATTCTGCCAAAAGGTTAGTGTTGTACAGATAAAGCCAGGGTTGATATTAGATGGTTGGAGGCAATCGACAGGAAGTCATACTCGACCTAGGTTTCGTGGTAGTTGGCACTCGTGTTAGCAAGGGACATGAGTTCCTTCAGAGTTGCAGATACGCCTTGCTGATGAGTTCTAAATATCACGAAACCTAGGTTGAGCAAGGCTTCGTTCCGATTGCCTCCAGTCCCTTAATAACAACAATTCAAATTGCAGCTGATGGATGCCGAGGCACCTAGTGGCTTGGTGGCCAGATTGTGAGCTTGACTGATAGAATTCGGTCTGTATCAAACATAGGACTAGACACACGCATTTCACTAGTGTTCAATCAATTTGTTAATATATCGGATAGGTTGATTTTGTTTATTCTGTTTGCCAATTTTATCAGCACTGTCAATCTGGACATCTCATCATCATCATTATCAGTTCACATTTTGAATTTGCGAGTCTAACAGTTTAAAACTGCCTCTATATGAAATCATGATCTAATTTTAATTATTCTGATATTTCATGAACTTTCTTGAATTAAATTAACTTCATGAATGTGCTCCCAGTAGACTACATAGTTAACGTCGTTGTCGATAGGCATTTGACTTCGTGCAGTAAATTTGCTAAAGGGATTTTGTCTGACTTGGAGCATCCACCACAGCACCCTCAGCTTTCACATTGCATCTCCTCAGGTAAAACGAGAAGTAACTTCAGAAAACTGTATGCTCGCACGTCTAAGTATAAAAATTCTATGATACCATACTTGGCACGTATTTTATGTGATGAAAATAGCATCAGGCAAGAATTGACTAATCTTTTTTCATCTAGTAAATAAACAATCTCCTCCATCCATACATCCTTATATACCTTCAATTTCTACTTTTATTATTTCTATTATATATATGGTCCTGTTGATTCTTTGTTTTCACTTTCATAACTGCAAACAACAACTTATATCTATGACTGGTGTAATCTTTGTTTTTTCCCTCACCATATCATGTAAAGAGAAGATTATATTCAATATTTTTAATCATGCTAGGATTTCTATACCACAACGACAATACTGTGTGAAACAAGCCCACGGAAATTTTCACTTGTAATATTACTATTATTACCTTAGCTGTTATCATTATTATTATTACTTCCATTTTATATGCTGCATGTTTTTTTGACATTACCCCTATTGCAAATGTGGAAAAATTTTGTGTGTGATTAATTTTATGTATAATTTGAGGAAATTAGATGCAAGATATTGTGATTAATGCTGAAAATTCCATTCTGTATCACAAGTACTGTTTTTGGAATAAAGTAAATCATTATTATTATTATTATTGTTCACACTGTATTTTACACTGCATTTTACAGAAGTAAGAGCAAATCTGTGAAAAAGACAATCAATTCTGAACAGAATTCATCTGATGATTTAGATCTGTTTGATTTCTTGAATAATAATAGCAAAGCAGTCAGTATACACTCTAATAGTAGTTCAATGGGACGAGATCCAACAAAATATGATTCTCTCTTATCGAATACTAATAGAATTGAAGAAGATCAAAGCAGTGGTTATGAAACCTCTTTATCGACAAAAAATACAGATTCATATGTAACCAAAACAGAGAATGTTGATGATGATTCTTGTGCAAAGGTAGCAACAGCGCCACCACCACCACCACCAACAACAACAACAGCAACTGCCTTAACTGGAGGTGAACCACCCGTTAAAAAATCAATAACAATAACTGAAGAGACCGTGAATAAGTCGTCGAATAATCAGCTATCGATTGTCAATGACTTACGACTAGAAAATAAGCTTCTTCGTAGTGAAGTTTCATCGTTAAGTCAAGAAGTCTCTGGACTGTTACGACGTAATCATAAAGCTTCAGAAGAGATTAAACAATTAACTGGTCAGGTGAGTTATCGATTTTTTAAAAACTAGTTTCTCGGTTAATGTATGTGTAAAACTAGGGCACTGTGGTAGTAAGTAATCCTACACATGAGTTTGTTTATTAGATATATCACACAATGAGACAGTATTATTACATAATGGATGACAAGGTTTCGAACACAAGTGATTACTGTTCATAATCATATCATCAATTATAATCACAGGACTTCGAAACGTCAGTTTTATAGTTCTCTTTGTCCTCTCCTATTTGTCGTCGTAGGCATAATAGTGGAATATTCCAGTTGTCTGCCTGGACAGGTGTTGAATCATTCCTATTACACGTGTTGATTCCCAGTTGATTCGATAAACAAAGCTTCCGTTGTTATCAATCTCTCCCTCCACCAAGCTGTTACATTAGATTTTAAAACTGTCATCTTATCCCATCCCATTGTATGGTTGTGTGTAATTACGTGTAGTGAGTGCTGTCTACGGCTGAACTATTCTCTAGATTTCCTATCTTATTCGGGTCAACTAACCTAGAATTTGCTGCTGGGTTTTTATGCTCGGCTAGTCTGACTGCCCCTGTTCTACTACTTTCACCTAACAATCAATGCAGGCGGGGTATTAGATGAACTAAATTGTTTTGTTTAATGTGCTGTTCCACAGGATTGATCCTTTAACCGACAAAGCATGTTTCTATTTGAGTTTGTGGGTGATTTGAATGCCAGCCACTTTTATTCATGCCTGTCTTGTTAAGAATTCTGTGTAAGGTTTCCGAGGTTCCTTCCTTGTATGGAATTACTACTGATGATTTAGATTCCTTATTGTTGGTGTTGTCTTGCGCACATTTGACTTGCATGTCGTCATTAATATTACGATTATTATCACTATCACCATCACTACTATCATTATTTATTTTATTTTTACATTTCCCTATATATTTCCTGGCATTGAATAATTCCTCAACTGAAGTGAATGCTCCGAAAGATGGCTGTGCCCCACATGACAGACATAGGTGGAAACTAACCATCGTTTCATCTTGCCTACGTAATTTTAACTAATCCAGTCTGTGTTTCAGTTCATTAGAAGTGGGGAGTTTACATTTTGAGTGGTTTGCAAATAGGATTTAATGCCGTAGGTAAATATTCAGACAATTCATAAGTAGGAGAATTTCTAAAACCAACTGTGAAGTTAGTGGGAGATACTGGCCTGCGAACTATAGAAATACCATATGTTGTACTGAGGTTGTTAGTTTTTGGCGTCAGTTGATACTAACCAGAGAATAGTGAAGAAGTTACATTAATACATTTTGTTTAAGTTCCAGGATATAGATAGATTTTTTCCAAGACATTAACTCAAAGGTGGAGGCAATTCAATTCACTTATGAATTGGAAAGTCAGGGAGGGGAGCTTCCAATGTTAGATTGCAGCGTAAAAAGGGAAGAAGATGCCAAGTTAAACACTAGTGTGTGTTTACAGGAAACCCACACATTCAAACAGATATTTGGACTTCCGATCATCCCAGCTTGTCTATGTCAGTAAAAACAGGATTGGTGAAATGTTTAAGTGACTGAGCACAAAAACTAAGTAGTACCAAGGAAAGTTTAAGACATGAAGTGAGGCATATAATAGGAGCTTTGAAACTTAATAATTACCCTGATAAATTAGTCAGGAAATATATAGGGAAATGTAAAAATAAAATAAATAATGATAGTAGTGATGGTGATAGTGATAATAATGTAATATTAATGACGACATGCAAGTCAAATGTGCGCAAGACAACACCAACAATAAGGAATCTAAATCATCAGTAGTAATTCCATACAAGGAAGGAACCTCGGAAACCTTACACAGAATTCTTAACAAGACAGGCATGAATAAAAGTGGCTGGCATTCAAATCACCCACAAACTCAAATAGAAACATGCTTTGTCGGTTAAAGGATCAATCCTGTGGAACAGCACATTAAACAAAACAATTTAGTTCATCTAATACCCCGCCTGCATTGATTGTTAGGTGAAAGTAGTAGAACAGGGGCAGTCAGACTAGCCGAGCATAAAAACCCAGCAGCAAATTCTAGGTTAGTTGACCCGAATAAGATAGGAAATCTAGAGAATAGTTCAGCCGTAGACAGCACTCACTACACGTAATTACACACAACCATACAATGGGATGGGATAAGATGACAGTTTTAAAATCTAATGTAACAGCTTGGTGGAGGGAGAGATTGATAACAACGGAAGCTTTGTTTATCGAATCAACTGGGAATCAACACGTGTAATAGGAATGATTCAACACCTGTCCAGGCAGACAACTGGAATATTCCACTATTATGCCTACGACGACAAATAGGAGAGGACAAAGAGAACTATAAAACTGACGTTTCGAAGTCCTGTGATTATAATTGATGATATGATTATGAACAGTAATCACTTGTGTTCGAAACCTTGTCATCCAGAGCCATGTCACCGTCCCAACCAGTCAGCAAGCCACCGCGTTCCTACGTGGCTGAAACTAACTGTCGTAGATTTCATTAACTGGTGCCATGTTTTGGTTTGGCCGCCGCTAGCTCTTTTCCAGCCTCACCCTATGTCAGCTAACATTACCCATTGTCAAGGAAGGCGATGACTAGGCATGTATGCATAACACATGTCCTAACCATCTCTGTCGATGTAATTTCACAGCCTCGTCGATTGATTTCCCCTCATTGCTTACCTAGAACTCGACGCCTTATCTCAATATTGCTCACCTTATTACACCTACCACTTCTCACGGGAGATAGAACACAGGCACCTATGATCAAAGACAACCAACCAGCCAGCCAGCCTTTTCATATCTTCCACTCTCAATGGCCAGGTCTCACCAACAGCCATAAAGGAGGACGTAGCGGACTCCTGAGCAGTACATACGCCCTTTGGTCGATAGTGGGATATCACGTCTATGTCAGACACGGCGTAAACTGGCATATGCGAAACTAGCCCTCTTTATCCATGCCGAGATTTCGCGAGATAGTGTTCAGTAATCCACAATGATGACTAGTTGAGGGAAAGTTGTTTCGGGTGTACGAAAAGTTATTCTTTTATGACATTCAGTCGTAGTTGTGCTTAAATCGAAAATCAATAGATGCTTGACACAGGATGAACTGGTTGATTGAACTTAATGTTCTCCATAACATTTAGTCAGCCTTCTTCCGTTTCACTTTGGTATGTAAATTAACGCCTGTCGTCGACGGTGAAGAGAGTTATGTGGGAAATAGCTAGGAAAATGAAGTTATTATTAAATTATAGATATAGTACCTACCACTCCTAATAGAAGCGTGTTTTTGTGTCTCACTGAAATGAAAGTCTTCTAAGAGTCACTTTCGTTGTGTATCAGAATTCCACTAAAATATAATCCTGATACAATTTATTGCGCAGCCAACCATGGACTAGATGAGTAACATTGGTTAATATCTAGGCCAAATAAAACTATGAAATGTTCTATTTTAGCTCATTTGATTGATCGGAGTCACCAGGTGAAATGAAGAAAGGCCTTGAAAGTTATCTATTGCATTCCACTCTGGAAAGAGGGGGTTAAAATAATTCGACCCCGAAAATTGTACATGCCGACTTACCCTAAGGTGGTCCGTAACAGGCGATAAGCTCACTAATCCAGAAAAAATCCACGAAACCGGGTCATACAGGCCGTGTGTGACCGGCCTCAAGGAGTTATCCCCTGGACTCTGCGGTCACACAACACTGAACCGCTTTCGGTTTCTCGTGCCCGAAAAATCAACCAACTTCCACGGTGTGGCCAGCCGGGAAGTGACAACTACCCAGACACTTCAAAGACCCCACGAACAATCCCCGAAAATCATTTCACTTATTTGGGTAGTTGCATGAAAACCATCTCGTTGATCACCGACGAGATCTCAGCACGTATACGAAAGGCTCGCTTCGCATATGCCAGTTTACGCCGTCTCTCGCTAAGTAGACGTGATATCCGGTGAGCTGTCGAGTAAAAGACGTGTGTAATGCTCAGCAGTCCGCTCCATCCCCCTTTATGGCTGTTGGTGAGACCCGGCCATTTAGAGTGGAGGACATGAAAAGGCTAGCTGTCTTTGATCATAGGTGCCTGTGTTCTATCTCCCGAGTGAAGTGGTACGCGTAATAGGGTGAGTAATATTGAGGTTAGACTTCCGTCGAGTGCTAGGTAAGGAGAAACAGTCACATCGATTGAGTTAGGTGGTTAGGAAATCTGTTAGGTATGCTTAGTAATCGCCTTCCTCAACGACGGCCAATCTTAGCTGACATAGAGTCAGGCTGGAAAAGAGCTAGCTAGTGGTGATCAAGCCAAAACATAGCGTCATCAGTCAATGAAATCCAAAACGGTTAGTTTAAGCCAACCAGCCACGTAAGAAGGTGTAGACTGCCTGACTGATTGGTTGGGGTCCTCGGGACGGTAAAAACCAATGGTCACTGGGGACAATCAGTGATATGGCTGAAAATCCTCGTTCTCAATGGCTAACACAGATGCATCCACTCCTTGTGATTTATAATTTCCAATGAGGCTATATTGTTCTTCGTTATTACTATTCCTTCTGTTCCACATCCCCCCCTATCCACTGTCTCTGTCATGCATTTCTTCTCTTGCTTTGTGTGCTACAAGGAGGGAGTGTGGCGAATTGAACTGGTGCACATCGATGCAAAGTTCTATGTTGAAAACAGACAGACAGATAGACAGATGTGGGTCGGAAACCTGACACGTGCGTCATGGAAAGCATTTCCAATAGGCTAAGACAGACTCTTATCAACAGTCAGTCAGCTAAGATTGCCTGTCGTCGAGGTAGGCGATGGCTGGATATACGTAACCATTTAGATCGATAGGGCCATATGTTTTACTTTATCGAACAGAGTATAATTATAATTAGTTTTACACAAAACATTCTGTTTCAATACATTTTGTTATGTTCAGGTTTTTCAACAATTAAAATTTTTTTATTAGAATTATTCAGGACTAATTAGCGAACTTTAGAATATAAAATATC